ACTGATGGGGGTTGGTCAGTTTGGAGGTAAGGTGTGGGACGAGCAGAATGATACTGGGTGTGGGTTCTGATGGGGGTTGGCCAGTTTGTCGGTGGGGTGTGGGGAGATCAGAGTGATACTGGCCTACTTCAATATGTATGTTTATTCCGTAAATAGGCCACAGGCCCAGTATACAATTACATCATCAATTCACATCACAAAACAGAGGTAGCGTCATGGTGGTACACATTCATACATTTATACATTGTCGCGACACTGGAGGAACTTGCTGCGCTTCTTAAAAGCAAGTTAAGCATACTTGGCTAAACAAGTGACAATACTTGCATCTGTAGATGTCATAAGTTGGATAAATTTTGCTTCACATGGGGGATTATTGTAGTATTTTGGTAATGTATTTTCTCTAAGACCTTGGTAGAAAGGCCAAATAAGGCAAAAGTGATACTCGCTCTCTAAAAAAGGTATTATACACAAAGCAAATAACCTGTCACTTCTTGGAATGTGAAGTTTTCTACCTTCAGAAATAATAAGATCATGTGTCGAGGATCGAAGCTGTGAAAGGACAATTCTATATGGCTTAACAGTGACTGATGATAAATAGTCTTCGAACATATTACAACATTTTACAAGTCTGTACGTTGTCAAACTTGGATACTTTTAAAGATTTTCAAAATACAATTGGTTATCAATATTAATACATCTAAATTTGAATTTCAACAAGAAGTCTTCCACACAATCAACATCCTGATTTATCCAAGAATATCCCAAACCGTAGCTAAACAATAATTTTTTAACTTTAAGTGCCCAGCAGTCAATACCCTTTTCAGCACGATCATACTGATAAGAATACACATTATCTTATTGAGTACACAGTCTTATCCAATATTTGATTATTTTCACGAATTGATTAACTTTCAAAGAAAAGCATCCCAGTTCACCCCTCGCAACAACATTTGGAGTAGCTCGTTTGAGATTGAGAATAAGTTTGCAAAATTTATCTTGTCTATTTAAAACATTAGGAGACGGGTGAAACCCCCATATTTCTGATCCATACATCAAGCCAGGCAGTATCTTTACGTCAAATACATGTAGTAATACTTTAGTTGGTAGATTAGAAAAATTCTTCATTTTAAACTGCAACATTAACAACTTTCCGAGCCTGTTGTGATAACACTTTTTGTGTTAAATACCAGGAACCAGTGCTTGAGATATGAACACCCAAATACTTGTAACTAGAAACAATCTGCAAAATGTCACCATCCAGCATGAACGTTTCATGTTTTTCCAATTGACCAGCTTCTCGAAAAACAACTACCTTAATCTTATCTGTGTTAATTTTTAACTGCCATTTGTCACAGTAAGAAGCCAATTTATCTAGTCTACATACTGGCCTACTGGGTGGGGGGCTACTGCACATGGGTTGTCAGTTTGGGGGAGCGGTGTGGTTAGATACTGGGTGAGGTGAGGTGAAATTGGGTTTAACGTCATGCTTGAGAATATTTCGCTCATATGACGACGTGCATGTGTATGTGTATGTGCGGCTGCTTGTACTAGCCCAGACTTAAGCTGGTTTTAGAGTGCTAGCCCACTGAGATACCATGTCGCAGTGAAGCATGAATACCCCACTCAGACACATTATACTGACTCCGAGCCGACCAGTCCTTGTTGTACCCATAATGGCGAGCGCCAGGCAGGGACCAACAAGTACCATATTTTAAAAGTCTTTTGGTATGACGCTTGCCCAGCTGGGGATCGAACTCAGCTGACCTTCCTCGCCTCTGGCGGATGCTGTAAACCACTACACCACAGAGGCAGTCGCTAGATACTGGGGTGTGGGGTTGGGGGCGGGGTTGGGTGTGTGTACTGATTTGATGTGGTCACAGCTGTTATGACATTATGGATAACAGCAGTTCTGATGAACACATCACAGATTGGCGTAGTACAGATGTAGTTCAGTCTACACGTTCTACTGGAGTAAATAAAAGCCCATATCGTAAATAAACTTGAGTTCTGATGGAGGCATGTCACCGCTGTGATTGGATGATATGTGTGAGATATTTATGTTTTGCATCCACCCACTAATTAAAACTGACCACATTTTATAAGATTAATTGCTGTGTTTTTTAACATGATGACTTACGCTGAATGTGTGTCGTCATATGCGGGGCATCTCTGTGACGTCAAATGAGGAATAGATATGAGGGCTGATGCAGAATTCATCAACGTTTCAGGGGGTAAATTATCTTGTTTACAGGTTTGTATAAACCTGAAATCGTGACAACTGTTATGGAAAATGAAAGCTATATGTTCTCACAATCTACTGTCATATAATTTTGTCTCCTGCTTTGCCTAGTTTCCGAAGTTACAACTTGTTTTCATAGACAATTCTGTCAAAATCGCTTTGGTGTCAAGTAGGGCCTTATTTGTATAATGACTGATCCAAATTGATCCCATTTCTGTGTTTTTTACCTCGATATTTAATCATGTCATGTAAAAAGATGACGTCTATTACGTATGATATTAAAAATTGACATTTGATTTATTTGAATCGGTAAACTAAACAACGCTACTTTGCCATTGCTAGAAGAATCTGAAATTTTTAATAATAGGTAAATAGGTACATACAGTTTTAGCACACAGCAAATGCTTATATGTATTTCTTATGCAACAATGCAACATTATGCAACATTATAAACATCGATTAAAGAATTAACCGATAACACGCTGATTGATGAATTACTTTTATCTTACACAGCGGATTTGTCAAAAGGTTTTGTTTATGAATGTAGATTTACTCATCTATACTGAATACACTCTGTCGGTCTGTGTTTGCGAAAAAACAACGTCCTTCCTTCAAAGGATTAACCACCAATACAGTGATTGATTGCTCTTATTGGCTAACTAAATTACCGTTTTTAAAGAATGGCGGACATTATGCAATCAGTTGCCAGGTGTGCTATCTTGGGTGACCAATGAGACTATACACCAATGTGACATACCTGAAACGATATATCACTTTTTTGTATACTAGACTGTTAAAAGACACATTACTTGGAACAGCTGCAGATGAATGGCATATCACTCGTTTTTGTGGATATTGATGGATACATTCCTCGAACAATGTAATAGCCTGACATTGTTCCTATAAATTTAATCTGTTTTAATTTTAATATTTGCATTTTGTTATTATTCATTTGTCGTAGCATTCAACAGAATCGTTTGTTTACGCGTGAAGTGTAATGAGACATACACTAGGCGTGCAGTGCGAATTATGATTCACACTGGCAAACTATAAAATGTCTAGATATTACAGTCCTGTTATAAATGCACTATAAGTATCAGCAGATCGTCTGCTTTTTATTTAGTTTCAAAATGCATACAAGTATGATAATAAACTAATTAGGATTATAAGACCAAATATAATGACGTAGATGGACTAGTATCTACATACTGGTGAGTGGATCGTTGACCATGTGAATGTAGCAAGAAATGTATCGCTAGTATTGTCACTTCGAATTTCCACCTCGCTCGCGGGAAGAAATCGCTATGTTATAAGTTGTATCATGCAAAATGCTTTTGGTTATGATTCAAATACATATTTAACTACTTAGTAGAAAGTATTTTTGATTTTCTTTACTTGATGAAAACAAACCATAATCCTCATTAATTCTAACAGACTTTAGCCCGTGTCTTCAATGATTTTCAAAAATGGCGGCACCCTCTCACAAACATCTGCCAGTCTGAGTACAATGCTAGGTTTGTTTTCACCGAGTTACAAAAATCAAAAACTACTTTCTACTGGTAGTAAAATATAATATTTGATTGATGGCCAATAGGATTTTGCATGATGATAGCGTATAACATAACAATTTTCGGGAAGCCGCAGGTGGGTGTCAATATAATACTACTTACAGTATTATTGCTACTTCACCACAACCTCGCTTCTGAGGCAGAAATCGCTATGTTACAAGTTGTGTCATGGAAAATCTTTATGGTCATTAATCATATACATATTTTACTACGACTCAGTAAGTAGTTTTGATTCTTTAACTTCTGTGAAGCGATCTGAACACATGTAAGGCTTCCACAAACGCTTCGGCACTCACAAACATAACCCATTTTACACGAACCGCGGGTTTATCATCCAAACTCTAGTTCAACTGGACAGGAGATATCGCTTGTAGATCAAACGATATCTCCTAGGAGATACACACTTTCTATACAGTAGATTTTGTACAATGCCCACGATAATGCTATGACGTCAGTGTACTTGATGACGTCACAATGCTATGACATCGCTGCACTGCAAGTCTAATGGCAGTACCAAATGTTCAGAGATGTACATTTTGCACAACTTTTAATCGCGCCGGGTACTAATTAACCACAAGTTTTAAAGAATGAAAAAGACTAATGTAAGAGTTAAAGATTAAAAAAAAGTTTATTTGTTCTTTAATGGGAAGTAGGGTTCACTGGTCAGTGTTGGACACCAGCCACCCTTGTACTGTACACTGACAGTTGTAATGAAGGTAGGGTTCACTGGTCAGTGTTGGACACCAGCCACCCCTGTACTGTACACTTTCAGTCTTAATGGGAGGTAGGGCTCACTGGTCAGTGTTGGACACCAGCCATTTTGTCATTCTTCTTCAATTTGTTTACATCTTGTTTCAGAGCACATCTTGCTGCCTGACCAAGCAAGACTCTGTCGTGATGTATGCAGTCACAGCTGCAGATGACCATGAGTTGAACGATGGATCCGAGTCCATCCATGGTTATAAGTCCAACAAGATACCCAAGTACAACCAGGGATCCAAGTCAAACCGTGGATCTAGCTCCAACCAGGGATCCAAGTCAAACCATGGATCTAGCTCCAACTAGAGATCCAAGTACAACCAGGCATCCATTTACAACCATGGATCTAGCTCCAACCAGGCATCCAAGTACAACCAGGCATCCAACTCAAACCAGGCATCTAGCTCAAACCATGGATCCAAGTTCAATCCAACCATGGATCCAAGTCAAACCATGGATCTAGCTCCAACCAGGGATCCAAGTCAAACCATGGATCTAGGTCCAACCAGAGATCCAAGTACAACCAGGGATCTAGCTCCAACCAGGGGATCCAAGTCAAACCATGGATCTAGCTCCAACCAGGCATCCAAGTACAACCAGGCATCCAAGTCAAACCATGGATCTAGCTCCAACCAGGGATCCAAGTCAAACCATGGATCTAGCTCCAACCAGAGATCCAAGTACAACCAGGCATCCAAGTACAACCATGGATCTAGCTCCAACCAGGGATCCAAGTCAAACCATGGATGCAGCTCCAACCAGAGATCCAAGTACAACCAGGGATCCAAGTCAAACCATGATCTAGGTCCAACCAGAGATTCAAGTACAACCAGGGATCCAAGTCAAACCATGGATCTAGCTCCAACCAGGGATCCATGTCAAACCATGATCTAGGTCCAACCAGAGATCCAAGTACAACCAAGCATCCAAGTCAAACCATGATCTAGGTCCAACCAGAGATCCAAGTACAACCAGGGATCCAAGTCAAACCATGGATCTAGCTCCAACCAGGGATCCATGTCAAACCATGATGTAGCTCCAACCAGGGATCCAAGTCAAACTATGGATCTAGCTCCAACCAGGGATCCAAGTACAACCAGGCATCCAAGTCAAACCATGATCTAGGTCCAACCAGAGATCCAAGTACAACCAGGCATCTAAGTCAAACCATGGATCTAGGTCCAACCAGGGATCCAAGTCCAACCATGGATCTAGCTCCAACCAGGGATCCAAGTCAAACCATGGATGTAGCTCCAACCAGGGATCCAAGTACAACCAGGCATCCAAGTCTGACTATGGATGTTAGTCCAGCCAGGGATGTTCTGGACTTTGAATGGCATTGCAGTGTTCTGTATTTCATGCGTTTATGCAATGAAACAGATAATGTACACCATTAGACATACCGCTACATAAGGCTGGACCAACTAACCAGCAATATAACAGACTTACAACCGGTACTTATTGTACATAACACAACAATGCAATATCACCAAAATATCACGTTTCTTACCTAATGTAGACACGTGGTGCTGTGTGATTATTGTCCATAACACAACAATGCAATATCACCAAAATCTCACGTTTCTTAACTAATGTAGACACCTGGTGCTGTGTGATTATTGTCCATAACACAACAATGCAATATCACCAAAATCTCACTTTTCTTATCTAATGTAGACACCTGGTGCTGTGTGATTATTGTCCATAACACAACAATGCAATATCACCAAAATCTCACATTTCTTACCTAATGTAGACACCTGGTGCTGTGTGATTATTGTCCATAACACAACAATGCAATATCACCAAAATATCACATTTCTTACCTAATGTAGACACCTGGTGCTGTGTGATTATTGTCCATAACACAACAATGCAATATCACCAAAATCTCACCTATTTGCTGTACCCATAATGTAGACACCTTTCTTACCTAATGTAGTGCTGTGTGATTATTGTCCATAACACAACAATGCAATATCACCAAAATCACATTTTCTTTACCTAATGTAGACACCTGGTGCTGTGTGATTATTGTCCATAACACAACAATGCAATATCACCAAAATATCACATTTCTTACCTAATGTAGACACCTGGTGCTGTGTGATTATTGTCCATAACACAACAATGCAATATCACCAAAATCTCACTTCTTACCTAATGCTAAACACCTGGTGCTGTGTGATTATTGTCCATAACATAACAATACAATATCACCAAAATCTCACTTTTCTTACCTAATGTAGACACCTGGTGCTGTGTGATTATTGGTCATAACACAACAATGCAATATCATAAAAATCACATTTCTTACCTTAATGTAGACACCTGGTGCTGTGTGATTATTGTCCATAACACAACAATGCAATATCACCAAATATCACATTTCTTACCTAATGTAGACACCTGGTGCTGTGTGATTATTGTCACATGCAATATCAACAAAATCTCAATGTTTAACTAATATAGACACCAAAATATCACATTTCTTACCCTAATGTAGACACCTGGTGCTGTGTGATTATTGTCCATAACACAACAATGCAATATCACCAAAATCCTCACATTTCTTACCTAATGTAGACACCTGGTGCTCAGTGATTACTGTCCATAACACAACAATGCAATATCACCAAAATCAATCACGTTTCTTAACTAATGTAGACACCTGGTGCTGTGTGATTATTGTCCATAACACCCACATCACCAAACATCACAATGCAACATCACCAAAATCCTGTCCACGCACAAAACAATTCTTAACTAAATGCAGGGTAGCCGTGGTCCACAACACAACAATGCAACACCACCAAAAACTTTGGCATCCCGGTGCCAGGTGTTACTGTCCGGAACAGAACATCAGCATACCTTGGTGTGGGATCACCGATGGGGGAGTGGGGGCTGGTCAGTTTGGAGGTGGGAGTGGGGCCGAGCAGAATGATACTTGGTGTGGGACACCGATGGGGTTAGTCAGTTTGGAGGTGGGGTGTAGGAGAACAGAATGATACTTGGGTGTGGGATACTGATGGGGGTTGGTCAGTTTGGAGGTGGGGTGTGGAGGGAGAGCAGAATGATACTATGTGTGGATACTGATGGGGTTGGTCAGTTTGGAGGTGAGGTGTAGTGGGGAGAGCAGAATGATACTCTGGTGTGGGATACTGATGGGGTTGGTCAGTTTGGAGGTGTGGGTGTGGGGAGAGAGCAGAATGATACTTGGTGTGGGATACTGATGGGGGTTTGTCAGTTTGGAGGTGGGGTAGGGGAGAGCAGAATGATACTTGGTGTTGGATACTGATGGGGCCTTGTCAGTTTGAAGGTGGGGTGTGGGGCGAACAGAATGATACTTGTTGAAGGGTTCTGATGGGGTTGGTCAGTTTTGAGGTGGGGATAGCAGGAATGATACTTGGTGTGGGATACTGATGGGGGTTGAGTCAGTTTGGGCGTGGGAGGTGTAGGAGAGACAGAATGATACTTGGTGTGGGATACTGATGGGGGCTGGCTGGGGTTTGGAGGTGGGGGTGTAGGCAGAGCAGAATGATACTTGGTGTGGGATACTGATGATGGGGGTTGAGGTCAGTTTGGAGAGTGGGGTGTAGGAGCACAGGATAATGCTTCCATTGTGGGATACTGATGGGGGTTGGTCAGTTTTGAGGTGGGGTTTAGGGAGAGCAGAATGTTACTTGGTGTG